TATATATATGTATATATATGTATATATGTTGACCTATATCTATTTTAAACCTCACATAAAATCCAATTTATGCACCAATGCTATTCTTGCATAAGGATATTTTTATATTCTTGTCAAATAATGATGATGTCGAACAGAAATGCATTGGATACAAAATGTATTAGTGACATATGTGACAGTCTTCATGCAATGAGCATATCACCTGCAACTTGTCGCTTAATTAACAACAGTTCAATTCATATTTAATTGGAAAAGTCATACTTTAATATCTTGCTTGAGTTTCACATCTGTTTCAACGTCGAGCAAAGCCAGAAGAGCGCCCTCTAAACCAGTTTCTGGTAACCCTGATTCCACATTATTCCGTCCCATATTATTCATGATTCCCTGTGGTACAAGAGTTTGAGCATGCTCACGCACTTCTTTAGCTTCACGTTGAACAAGCTGTCTCAGGCAACAAACAGATACTTTTCGCAAGATCAAATGTGGACTTGACAATAGTTTCTGTAATAGTTCCGTGAGATTCCTTTAAAAAAATCAACACCCTTCACATGTCAGCAATCATTTTGAAAAATTTTTAAATTTCGAAGTATTAATTATTCATACTCCACAGCTAATTCTCCCATGAAATCCACTTCATTGAATAGTAGAAATTGTAAAAACAAAAGTTAATGACAATGGATTTCAAATGAAGGTATAAAACATGGCTAACTAACACAAAGTTGAACAACCAGCCGGTCAAGATGCACATGTCGGGATGCGAAAAGATGAAGTTGTTGTAAACAAGATATAGCTTCTGCTTGAACCAGAGGATCACTGTTATTCAACATTATAACACTTGCTATAATAATATCAAGTAATATGGAAATGAACAAATAATATTAAAATTTATGAAAAAAACGGCGAAAGCGAAAAAAACTGCCTATCAAGAATGATGTTCTCGTTCCTTCCACAGCACCAACAAGCTGTAATTCTGGTCCCATTGTGTTGATCAGCGCAGATACCTACAATAATTTGTTTTATCTTACTTGAATTGTTTCTGCTACATCATTGAAATATGTTAGACATAACGCCCGGACACATTGACAAAATATGAAATCCATATTCCGAAGTCTGGAAATATTGTGAGATGTTGTTTCCTTGTTGTATTAGAACAAACCACTAGCATTCCTCATGAAAGAGGAAAGTGACATTGTTATAGCATTTAACTTAGCATTAGTCATATTTTTATAATATGGCAGTGATGATTAACACTCTAAACAACCTCGAAACTGAGGCAGCATGGAGCAACTCAAGAGCTGTATTTTCTACACATATAATAAAATAATGTAAGCATTCTTTTTTCTAAGTTCATCTAAGTCCAAGAAAGCAAAATAATAAATAGCAAATCGCAATTGAATTGAATAAAACTTGGGACTTACAAATTTTTAGTATACTATATTACATCAACATTTGCAAATGGTGTATCCAGCAAGCAAAATAATAAATAGCAAATCGCAATTGGACTGAATAAAACTTGGAACTTACAAATTTCCCAGTACATTGTATTACATCAACATTTGCAAGTGGTGTATCCAGCAACAACTTCAAGCAGAGATTTAAGCTTGGCTCGACATAACCACGGAACATTCCACCACCAGTATCAGCGATCAAACCCAATGCAATTAGTGACCATGACTTGAAAAAGTGAGAAATATGAGAAATGGGATGAAATGGAAAAAAGTGAAAAGGATTAACAAGCAAAAAATACTGAGTCTTTCTTGCAAAAAGAGAATCAGGATTCCTGTTAATTAATGAAAATTGCTGTGAGTAAGTTAAAGTATGCTAACAACAAGGTCAAGGCACAATAACTATCATCTAAAAAAACCATGTAACGATCCAGTGATACTGGAACCAAGAAATATCTTGTCCGGTACAACATAAAATACTTACCTGTACCAAAGACGAAGTAGCATCTTGTGCCAAGGCCAACAGGATTGAAACACTAATATTCAAGTGCTGACCACTGCCCAGAGATCCCACGTAACGATGCAGTGATCCAAGAGCCAAAGCATAACCCGCCCTGTTATTGGCATCGCGACAACTTTTTAATTTATCGAAACTATACTGCGCCATACTCGCCACAAACTGCGCATAGAGAATAATTTGCTTTAATTGCTATTTCGCCATAAATATAAAATTCAGAGATTTGCTTAATGTCTTTCTCATTGTTAACGATTCAGTTCGTCCTTGGAAACTTTATTTTTTATTTGGTTACGTGGTACAACCGAAGATTATAAAAACTACGAATTCCGAGGATAATAGAAAGTTACATTTCACTATCAAAGTTCGTTCTTGGAAACTTCATTTTTCATTTGGTTTGAATTCAAGGATTACAAAAGTGGCATAATGCACAATTATTTTAACTAATAACATCTGAATCCAGACCAAAAACCCAGTAATTTCCCACAAACAAAATTATTTAGAAATAACCAACCTGAGCATCACCAACGGCTTGTGCTAAACGACCTAATGTTTCTGCTGCTGCACACCTGAAAGGAAAAAATAATCAAACTGAAAAACATTTCAGGAAGGATGGGAAAGTACAAAACAAAGAAAAAAACCTTATTAGGGGATTTGCATGTGAGAGACATGGAATGATTAAATCGATGTAGGCTTTTTGTACAGCCTGGCCTTCCAAACGCAGACCTTTTTGTTCCGAAACAGTTTTGAATGAAACAAGCAGACAGCTAAAAACATTCTTCTGTATCTGAAACCAATAAACTGAGAAAGGACTACTGAAGACTCCAATTTTTAATTAATTTCTCATAAGAACTGTACCATGAGGAAATTCAAGTCCCTAAATCCACAATTTTTAAATTACACAACACTTAGTGCATCTAAATTTTCTTTCTGAATAAATTGTTTCAAAAAAAATTTTTCCGTTTTCGCTTTAAAAAACACCATATTTTTGTAGTTTTCTGATGTTTTAACACACTAGTTATTGCAAAAATGAACAGTAACAATAAAAATTCGAATTTCATTTTTCATTTCAAATAATTATGTATGCCTTTTTTTGTGAAGTATAAAATTTCAGAAGACTATTCCGAACACTTTATGATTAATCAGATCGTTTTTTTTTCCAAAATTAATCAAAAGTGCTAGAAATTAATTCTAATATTTGGAACGATCTGCTGCTATTCAAGAAAAAAGGCAAGAACGAATTATTACTGATTGTTGTCGCACTATATTTTTGGTTCCCTTGACACATTTAGCAAAGTGTTCGGCCATTTGTAGCTGATATTTCGCTGGCACAAATGGATATATTCGACCATACATATTTATCGCTGCATTTATCACTATTACAGTATGACAAAATGGCTCAGGCCACCACAGCGCATCATCGACTGTAACTCTAAACATTATAATCACGATCAAACAAAAGAACCTACTGAATAATGCAACTGCTTCAATAAATATTTAATAAACTTAAATGGAAAAATATTTAATAACTATTATCCCTTACCGCTTATCTGAACAAAGCCTTACTTTACGATACAAAGAGGATCATTATTGATGGTACCACAAACCAAGTTTTGTGACGGATGCATCTAAAAAGCGAAAAATAATGTCGTCATTGAAACAAACTCATTTTATGCAATACCATATACTCAAACTTTCAAATTTTGGCATGCTTGCAAAAGTGAAAATAAAACTTGGTGCAATTTATGACTCACATAGTAAATAACAATCTGACACATTTGTTGTAACATTCTTTCTGTGAAATATGAAGAAAACATTTAAAAAACGAAGTAGGTATGTGAGTTAAGAGCGCTGCCTTTGAATAGATGCCTAACTCCTAGTTTTTTGTTTTTGGGAAAAGAATTTCACAGCAATAGATACTCATCAGAAATCAGAATTCAGATTTATCAGACGCCAAGATTTGTTAGGCAATCCAGAATTGAGAGTTCCAGCGACTCTTAAAAGTGTAGAGCAAACTCGAGAAAAGAAATGCAGAGAAGTATTCAAAGAAAAATAGAACAAATATGCTACAGCTGCGATTACAGCATGTTAGCAAACAACTATCTGTCTCATTAATTGAATGCAGACCTCAAGTTCAATAAAAGCCTGGTCTGTGTTAGTAAGCCAAGCACCGAGTAACGACTTATCTACGCCTGGACAAAGTGATGGCAACATGGATGTAGTAGCAGTTGATTGCCCATTATCCGAAAGAGTTAGGTCTGCAGCTAATTCACGCAACAACGAAGCATATATTTCTGCAAAAGTTTATTGAACAGCTTATGGCTAAAAAGAAGTAACAGCGAAGTAACAGGTTCAAATTAAGGCTACGTAAAACTAGAAAAAACTTACGTTCGTAATACTTCGGAGATATATGGCTAAGCAACTGATATATTCGAATACGTACAAATGTCATCAAGGCACGTAACTTAGTTCCAAAACTTCTGATAAGTGCAGATACACTATAAAAAATAAAAAAACAACATAACTCTTCAAATGATCCACGGAGGATTTTCCATACACTTTCTTTGTGAAGCATGAAATTTCGAAAGAATACAATTCTGAAGAAATTTCAAAAGAATAGAATTGTAGAATCCTGAAGAATTACTGTGAAATGGTGACCAGCGAACATTCCACAGCTTGAACAATTGTCCTGATGGTATGATCAGTCATTAGATTAGGACAGTATTCTACGAACATCGCCATTGAAGTCAGAGCACCAGCACGAGCTTCAAGAGTACATAACCACGTAAAGGCATCACCACGATTTTTCTCAGCTTCTGCTTCCTTTGTTGATCGTGGAAACGAACTTTTCCACAACGGTAAAAGACGTCCTATACAATTATGTACAGTAGTTCCATCTGAAAAAGAAAAAAAAGCGGATTTATGTGATAGTCAAAACTGGAAGCATATTGCAGTTATTCAGAAGAATAATTACCAAGTTTGAGGACAGCAGCAACGAGGATCCAACCAGCCTGTGACTTAACTTGTGCCAAACTACTTGCTTGTGATGCTGTTCTTATCATATCTTCAGCAACTGTAAAGACTTGCCTGAAATCTATAAAAATAAACCGAAGGATAAAATGAATAGAATTAATTTAAAAGTTTCAGATTCCTTTCAATATTTTGGAAAACAAAGAAGTTGCATTTTACGCTGCGCCAAAAATAACAGAAGAAATATACCGAAAACACCGGGATGAAAAGTATGTATTACAAAAACAACTTTGGTTCATTCCTTTGTTTGTGAAACAACCAAATAACAACCAGTTTTTTTGTGCATGTTTCAGATAGACTGGTCAACTTTCGGTCAATCAGAACATACCACATTATATTTATTGATTTTTTCTTGAGATTTTAATCTTTTGAGGTTTTTCACTTTCTGAATTGAAAAACATAACCTCGATTTAGCATGCGGGATACCGAGCTTACATTGTATAGAACCTACAAGAAGAGCACTTAACGCAAATGAATAGCCGCTTATCGCATCACCACAGCTCTTCATATGCTCCAATCTATAAAAAGAAGTTGACAAAGATCCAAAATTTTTCAGAAGATCATTTTGGATTTAAATGTTTGGTGCTGTAATGTGTACCTGTTGACACAACGATCAATTAGAGGAGTTAGCTGTGATGGGACGCTAATAGTTACACATCGCAAACACCATGAAGCAGCTATTCGAGCAGCTTGGACTGGATGCAGAAGGCAAGCGAATACAGGTTCCATTATACCTATAATTAAAAATCCTAACTACAGAATTTCTGAAATTCGAACATTTGATTACATGCATTTGCCACTTACCGTTTTCTCATACAGTCATGTTTTACATATCTGTTATGAGCTTATCTTTAAGAGCATATCTGTTATGCGCTTTCAACGTATAATTGCTTATGCATCACTTTGGTATCATTAAGGAATAGTTTTAGAATATCGGTACAAAGATAGAATATAATCTAAGTTATTTCTGAAACATTTTTGAATTTGGATCCGATTCAGCACTTTGTTGAAATTGGTTATTTTCAGCAATTTTATGGAAGATATTCTTCGCTCAAAATTTGTGGGTTTACATTTATAAGAT